TGCGTGTGTTTGGGTATGATTATGAGCCTGAGGTCACGTCTGATTGTATATTTATTCAGCACCCAACTACACCCACACGCGTACCTAGAGAGAACGAATTGAGATACAAATACTTATGCTTCTATACATAGTAAATAATGCAAGACAAACTATCTCTCTGGAATTTATTTATTTGCTGAGGATTTATTAATTAAGATGGTATTTTAGCACACCAACATCCGTCTTTGAAGTCTTTATTTTGTGGAACATTATAGAATGTGGGTGTGAGTGATGAAAAGAAGAACCATACCCATTCACACACGCTCTGTTTGTTCCTCGAGACCAGAATCATCAATCTCGGTAGTGCATGAATGTTTCCAATCTCTTTGATTATATTCGTCTTGTTAATGTACAACAATCACTCGATTTGGTAGAGCGAAACTATGCAAATACGGATAAGATTGATATTCTCCGAATACTTCATAGGATGTTTTATGATCATACTGAAACTGAAAATACTAACAGAAACAATCATTTTATTGATAAGTTTATTTTCAATATCTTCAATTATTTCCTTGATAAATCTTTTATCTTACTTTCATACGTTTTATAGCCACTAATAGAGTAGCTACATGTATATCACATGCTTCAGGTCAGTATTTCCAAAACTTCCTCATCTCAATTAATTAAAAACATTTTTCTTTTCCTGATTCTAATAAGTATTATAAATAATGGCGATGAATGTAGTCGACTGGGCATTCAGCTTCTTTGTAAAATACATGAATATAATGTAAAGCATTCATTCATCGATTATATAAAAAGAATTTCATATTTACTTTCAGATAATTTACGTCGGTTGAAAGATTTAATACAAAGAAGAAAATCAACACTCGTTATTTCAGTTTTATTTTTCATAGAATTTTTTCCAAATATATAGTGTATAAAAATACTATGGATATAGTTCATGATAAAAATCAAACATTAGATCGTCTTACAGTCAGTTCTACTGAAGAAGAAGCACAAGGTCAATCAAATACGAATGCAATAGCTTCTTCGTAAGTAATCAGACTTGAACATTTTGTACGATATGTTCAAATATATTTTCAAATCTATTATAATATTGTTCCTTTGAACAACCAAAGAAAAGAGTTAAGCTTAGGTTCTCTTACAGATTGTGATAATATTTATTTTCAGTAAATCATCACATGTACCAAAGATTTATACTCGCACTGGTGATCGAGGTACATCTGTTCTACTAGATTGTGGTTCAACTCGTTTATCAAAAGATTCATTAGTATTTGATCTTCTTGGTACGATTGATGAGTTTTCATCAACAATTGGTATGGTTCGATCAATTTGTTCGTTTCCTTTAATTTTAAAAGAACTAGAAAATATTCAAAGGTGTTGTTTTGAAATTGGTTCATGTGTAGCTGCCAATAATTGTTCATCTCGTTTTGTATTTAATGATTCAACATTAATTAAAAATCTAGAAGAACAAATTGATAAAATGACTGAAGAATTACCTGAATTACATCATTTTATTTTACCTGGTGGTTCTAGTCAAACAGCATCCTGTCTTCATTTAGCTAGAGCTGTTTGTCGTAGATGTGAACGTTTATTAACGAAATGGTTAAATAATCAAATCGAAGAAGAACAATCACAACAAGATACAATCATGGGAATTTACTTGAATAGACTCAGTGATTATTTATTTACATTAGCACGATACATAGCATATAAAGAAGGACATGAAGATTTAATATATCATAAGAGCAAATAAATAAATCTTTTCATTTTATTTTCAGATATCACCTTTAAGCTTTTTAGTATCGCGTCTTCATTTTCCTCTTTTTTTCCATTGTCGGTTGATAAAAAGAGTAGATATAAAAGCAAGAAATGCTTTGCCGACGAACTTACGTCAAGAAAATGATTCAAGAACAGTACCAGTACTTGTTTGGATTGAATTATCAGAAGCCGAAAAAAGGACGGTAGTGCATACGCAATTGAAAATGGACCACTGACTATTTCCAGCTGTTTCGTTAGTAGTTCTATAAAGAAAAATGAGATGTGCTTTTAGATAACAGAGGATGGGTATTCATAAGAAGGTAAATCGATTCATTCTCAGTTTTTCCATAAATATATACGTCGATGCAGAATGGGACGGATTTTCAAACGTGAGTGTGAGTGCATGGCTGTCATCTTTTGGATACAACACATTCGACCTGGCACTATCTTTCATAAGTTGTATCCCAAAGCAGGCAAGTCTGTGTAGATATGAGTATCACTTGTTCTAACTCTCACCCGCACTAACACGCACACTTACACGCTTCTATAATACGAACCTTGACTTCTGTAAATAGCAAAGCATCTACTAAGTATTGTTCACTCACTTTCTTCCGAGTACTGTTTTCGATTGTTTTTTTCGTACGCTACCTTGCATTCAAAGCAGTTATACATAATTCAATAATTTATATTAAAATATGGTGTTATTATAGAATATCTCTCGATGGATTAAATAAATTCTACAAACAGAGAGCTTTATTTCAAAAGCTAAAGTAACAAATACTTAAATATTTGTATTCAGATTTATAAATAAAATTTATTAGCATTTATCGATCGTTCACCTACGAGAAAAGTTCATCAGCTGTTCAATTGCTTTTGCATTGAAACTATTTGCATGATGTAGTACCCAAAGAGTGATGAATACTCTGAAAAAACTTTCGGCAGCTATGTTACTGTTACAAAAATACTCAATTTGTAAGGTCTAGTTCTCAATGAGTACCGTGGTACCCCTCAGGAACATTAAAAAAATTAAACAGGTCACAACAAGAATAGTATTTTGTGAACATTTCAGATCTTCCTATAGTTCCTATCACAAGATGCAGGTATTATGAAAACGTATATTTTCCATCGTTCAAATAGAGCAGCAGATTTGATGTAACAAACAAACCAAAAGATATGAAACTTTCACAAAATACTATTGTCGTTGTGCTCTGTTTCTATGTAAAGTTTCAACTCAAAATCCAAAAAATTAATTTTTCCGATGCTCTTGAGCGGTACCACAGCACTCATTGAAAACTAGACCTTACAAATGCAGTGTTTTTGTAACAATTACATAGCTGCCGAAAGTTTTTTCAGAGTATTTATAACTATTCTGGTACTCCATAATTCCAATAGTTTCAACGTAAAAGCAGTTGAAAAGTTGATGAGTTTCCCTCGTTGAAGCAGTTCAAAAGTAGTGAGTGGCACTTTAGTACCGTACAGTAAGCTTTAAGAAACTTTGCCCGTATATAGTATGATACAGAAAAGAATGCTTTATGTTTCTATGCTATGTGATCATACTTCAGCCAATGCCATAAGAATAAAATTTTGATAAGATCTGTTTTTCTGTCATATAGAACGATTATACTAATACCAATTTAGTGGATAAGTTTTTACATAACTTTTGATAGAAACAAGATACAATGTGGGTGTGCATGAAAAGAAGAGATACCACCACACCCTTAGTATACTTTTTCTTTAGTTTGTATCAATTAACACTGTTGTAGCAATGAACATTGAAAAAGAAAGCTTAAGTTATAATAATATATGGATTAAAAGAAGTGAATACAGCAAGATTTTTGCAGCATTCTTTTGTAATACTCAAGTAGAGAAATTAAATCTCATCCTAAATTCTCTATCGGAAGATATAAGAGTCATTTTTCTACAAACTCTACTTAGGGTGTAGGGTGTGGGTGTAGATGAAGAGAAGACCTATGGTGACACTCATGTACACATACACATCCAATTCAGATTTAGATAATCTTCGACCAAATGTGAGCCCAAATTCAAATCTAAGTCTAAATCAAACCCAAATCTTTTAACACCTAATCACAAGGTCTTGGATTTGTCGCACCTCTAGTGTAGTAGAAGAAGTGAAATGGTGTTTAACTACGGCACGTGAGGCACATGTTACATTGAAAAATAAAATAACAAAATTGATTACCAACAGTGACCATGGTCGTTTAATTATCCACAAATATAGATATTAATACAGTATTTACTCAGAAAACGACAACTTCTTGTATATGATAACTAATCTCAAATATACAATAGATCACCGAGAGTAGTTTTGGTATAGGCCGCCGTACATGGATCTTTCGTGTTCAGAAATCGCTTTCATTTGATCAGAAACGATCGTCTATCATTAAGAAAACCACCTTTCGTAGAATAAAAACGTTTCTCAAAAAGTATAAAAGAACAAAGACTTTTCTAATGAAATATATCCAGAAGAACTCCACCATAGAAATCGTAACTCTACGATTCCTATGTCGGTCGCAAGTCCGAGTAAAGGAGGAGCGTTTGGCGGAAGGGGTGCAGATACCGCTGTCAGTAAAAAGAAAAGACGA